TGGCCAGGGATGCAAAGTTTTAGAAAAAATACTACTCAAACCTCTTTTAAATCCTGAAACTAATATAGGGTGGTAGTATATTCCCAGAAAATGCAAATTAAGGGGGTGAGAATATATTTTTAAGAAAATGGAAATAATCAGAAAACAGCCAGTATAGAATACCTGGGTTAGTCTGTTTTCTTCTTTTGGGGGGAGGGTAATGAAAGAAGGGACTGGACCTATGATTTCATTCCTATAGCAAAAGTGCTCTCTACCAATGCAGATAAAACACCACCTGTTCTCCAACTTAAAGCAAGAAGGCTTAACCTGGAGTCCAAACTTAAAAATTATCAAATCTTTTTCAATAGAATTGGTTTGTAAATACATATTTTATATATTTAAAAATATTATGAGAAGGCAGCCAGGGGCTTCACCAGATAGTCAAAAGATAAATGACAAGGGGAAAAAAAGATTAAGTTCTCCTGCTTTAGTAAGCTATATGGAGACGTTAAGTGATTTGCCCAAGGTCATATACTTTTAAAAAACCAATCTATTAAACAAGTTCACCCCAGTTTAAGAACTCTTCCTCTAGATAGTATGAAAAAGCATGGGGCTTGCCAGGTATAGTTTGAATTTTGAAAGTGGTTCACTCCTCGTGGAGTACATGGGAAAACACTCCAAGAGTACGGATTTTTAAAAATTAAATTCAAAAACTTGGTCCCCAAGTACAGATGATACATCTATCCCACCTTTTGGGAGAGACGTAGGAGAGAAATTGTATATACTATCTGACATAGTCATCTGACAAAATCTGTTTTTTTGGTTTTGCCTAACAAAGGAGGGTTCCTGAGGATGGGAGGAGGAAATATCAAGAATGTTCAGTGTAAAACTAAAAAATTAAAGCAACAGTGAAACTTTTTTAAAAAATTACAATCTTTCTTAAAGATTTTCTTTTTGCATCTATTTTGTTAAGGGCTTATAGTTAGAAAAACACTAGTCATCTTAAATTATAGCTATTCTTTCCTGAAACACTTAAGTAATGAAATTCTGACCTAACCACTTTGTTTCAAGCAATCTGTAAAATAAATGCACAGAGTATGATTAAATTCCTACGCTATAATCTCTTCAAGGAAATTTAGCAATTTACCTTAATGGCTTCTACTTGTTGGCAGATCATTTTCAATAAAGAATTTTGATCTTCTGCCCATCGAGGAGGAGTTTTAGGAGAAAACTTGAAAAAAAAAAACACAAATATTTAGAGAAACCACATATTACTTGATAAAAGACACTTTTTCTTTGCTACATACCTTGTAACTTTTACTTGGTGATAAAGAAAATTTGGTTGGAGATGGTATAGAATGTTTTATATCAGAATCTATATTTCGGGGCGAACCATTTTTACAATGAGGTCCTCCTTCACTATATTCTTCAAGTTCTTGCATTACTGAATTAAGCATCTCTTTTACAGACTCCAAAGGAACTGGAAGCTAAAAATAAAAGGCAAGGGCTTTGGTTTTCAAATATGCCAATATAAAGCTATGTGCATTAAATAACAAAATTATCTGTGACTTACAAATACCTATAAATTATATAGTTCTAACATTTTTCATCCTAATATTTCCATCTGAAGTGACAGCAAGTAGTTAGATGACCCTGAAGGTCCTTTCCATCTCTAAATCTATGTTCCTGCTTCAGTCAACTCTAAAGCCTATACCAGCAAAACAATGACACTAGTAAAATAAGTATAGCATTACATAGATGACTGGGGAGCTAGATGGCACAGTGGATAGAGTGCTGGACCTGGAATCAGGAAGACTCATCTTCATGAGTTCAAATCTGGCCTCAGACATTTGTACTAGCTGTGTGACCCTGGACAAGTCACTTAACCCCGTTTACCTCTGCTTTCTCATCTGCAAAATAAGCTGAAAAAGGAAAACCATTCTAGCACCTCTGCCAAGAAAATCCCAAACAGAGTCACAAAGAGTCAGATATATCTGACTAAAACATCTGCACAACAACAAGAAAAGATAATTAAATGCTCATCAAGCCTAACCCCCTCATTTTATAGATGAGGAAAATGACTCTCAGAAAGTGAAGAGAGGCAGCATGTAAAGCAGAAAAAGGGATGGATCATGAGTCAGAAGATGTAGTACAAATGCCAGCTCTGCCATTTATTTACCACCTGTGCCACTATGTATAAGACACCTAAACCTCCTTTGGCCTCAATTTTCTCTCCCTGCCACCTTGTATTCTATGATCCTGTATTATTCATCTATGTTACACAGCTAGTAAGTGACAGAGATAGGTCTCTTACGCCCTGGTTTTTCCTGAGTCCCAGATCAGGACTCTACAAAACTTCAAGATGACCACAGTATTATTTTTGCTGTTTATTAAATATATTATGAAAACCATACTTTTTAATTCTTACCTCCTTTTCCTACACTGAGCAATAACTGGCTTTGTTTTTATTTATACAGAGCATTTACTTCTCTCTATAAATTAACTACCTTTGAAAGCACATTAACTTTGCCTTTGACAGAGGAGAATCTGGAGTCAGGTGAAAAGAAAAACTATCTATACAGCAGCAACAAAATTTGTCTAGAAAAGAATGAAACTAATCTAAAAAATTTAAGTGCCGACTATGTGTCAGGAACTTTGCTAGATGGATATGAGTGAGACAGTCTCTGCCCAAGAAGCTAACAGCCCAATACGACATGCTCACCTCAGTAAATACAGGATATATTAAAAATACCTACTAATTTGGGGTACTGTTCACTAACAACTGGAAGAAACAGAAAAGGTCTCTTGAATGAATCTGTATTTCAACTGAGCTTTGAAAGGAAAAAGGATTCCAAGATGCAGTTTTGCAAAAGAAAAGCATTCCAGGCCCAGGGGACAAGCAGTGCAAAGAAAGGCATAGAGGCAGGAGATATAATGTCGTTTACACAGAAGAATAAGCCAATCTGACTACAGTACAGAAAGCTTGAAAGGGAGTAATATATAATGAATTTTTAAAAATCGACTGGATTTTGACTGCAAAGGAATTTTACACATCAAACAGAGCAGTTTCTATTTTATCCTAAAGGCAATGGGAAGCCACAGAAGTTTCATATAGAGAAGAGTCATGTGTCCAGACCTGGGCTTTAGGAACATCAATTAACAATTCCATGAAGAATGTATTTGAGAGGGGAAAGAGGAGAAGCAGGCAGAATATTAGGACTAGTATTTATTTTACAATAGTCCAGGTGAAAGGAGCTGAAAACCTGAGCCTGAGCAAGTCAATTAAGTGAAGAGAGAGAAGACAGATCCAAGAGATGTTAAGAAGGTGAAATTGACAATGTCTGGCAACTGACTGGGTAAGGGGGCAAGGGAGAATGAAGAGAATCATGACTCTGAGGTCACAAACATATGTGAACCGGAAGAATGGGGTAGAAATAGGGAAGTGTGGAGAAGGGGTAGCTTTAGGAAGAAAGATAATTAATTCTGTTTTGGACAAGGTGAATTTGAGATACCTATAAGACATCCAAGTAGAGATGTCAAGCAGCCACTTAGAGATGTGGGATTTGAATAAAGCCCAGAGATCAGACGAGATATGAAAATTTAGAAGTCATCTGCATAAGGATGATAGGTAAATCATGAATTTTAAAATCAAGAGAAATTACAGGTATAGGAAAGGAAAGAGAAGTGAACCCTGTGGAATGCATGGAAGCCAGATGTGGAAGATTATACCACAGAGAAGACTGGGGACAAGTCTGACAGGTAGAAAGAAAACTAAGACATAGTAGTATCATGAAAACTCAGAGAAGAGATAGTATCTCATATTATAAAGACATTCACAAGACCTAAGACATTGCTCTTGAAGACAGAGCTGACACACAGAAAAGTGTTATCTGGATTAAACTACATAATGCAAGTAACATTTTTAAAAAACAGAAGCTAAATGATCACCAAGCACCCTATCTGAGAAATTTACCCAAACCTCTGAACAATGCTTCTGACTAAAATTTTCTTTCCTCACAAGCATAAAGTTAATAACTTCACACATAAAAAAAGAAGCCTATACACAAAGTCTGAATCAGCTAAGCAATTATTATTTAAATTAAACCAGCTCTTCCGGTGAAAGCTGCAGCTGACATTTTTCTGTCCTCCAAACTGCAGAACTTGTTGCAAGTACAGCAAAGCACCAGCAACACAAAATCAAGAGTATGAGAAGAGCAACAACTCTCTAGGATCAGAGTAAAGACACTATGACTGGAAGCACAGTGGCTGTGATGGTCAAACAAAACCAATTTTCACAAATAAATAAATGAATGAATGAATGGCTAAGGCCACAAAAAAGATTTATCCAATTGTCATGAGGCTGGAACATGTGAAGCTCAACAGTAGGTCTAAAGAGATGCTGGCTCTTATGAAATGTAAACATTTTGAACTGAGAAGAGACAAGAAGAGAAAGAGTCAAATGGTTCAGTCTTAAGCTTCGCTGTTTTCTCCTTCACAGTAACAACAAAACATGAAGCTACAATACTTACGCATCCTTGGTGTCATAGTTACCATTTTGAAAAATAGAAAGTATGAATAAACCACATTCCATATGATGTAAACCTTTATCCATTGGGAGCGGCTAGGTGGCACACTGGATAGAGCATCAGCCCTGGATTCAGGAGGACCTGAGCTCAAATCCAGCCTCAGACACGTAAGACTTACTACCTGTGTAACCCTGAGCAAGTCACTTAACTCCCACTGCCCACCCCCCTACCCCCTAAAAAAACTTTATCCATGTAGGAAGTTAATGTTTGAAAGATTTGGCCAAGCGTGCTAGCTTATTGAATCTTAGTTCAAAATCTTTTATTTAGAAAGCTCAACTAGAGCGTTCTGGGAGGCCTTGGTTGTTAGTACTATTGTTAAAAATCAACAGAATATTAAGGTTAGGGATAGCTAACACTAACATACAGGCTTTTAGCAAATCAGTAGCGAATTAATTCATCACTTTCAGGGATTGCCCTGTTTCAAAATATTATCTTTCTGAAGAGGCTTCCTGTATGTACTGGGGTTGAGTAATCCTCTGTAGAGAACTAAGTAAGAGTAAGTGAAATGCCTGGTCATTAAAAAGATGGCTTATTATTTGGTAACTCATTTTAATTATGTTTCAAGGGGTGGTGGGAATGACAACTGTTTAGAAAAAAAAAAAAGGAACTGCAATAGTGAAGATTTGAATGGAGGCTATTCAATCTATGGTGTAACTATTTTATATGGTAGTTATTTGTGCTGTCATACTCATACTGAGCTGTTAGCTCTATGAGGGCAGGATGTCTGTCATAAACTTTGCATCGTCCCCAAGTGCCTGGTATAGTGCTTTCCACACAAGAGATGATTAATACATTTTTGAGTCTTGCTAAAGATAAAAATTAAATGAGTAGTTAGTTCTTTTAATAATTACAATTGCTGAGCATTACCTCAAGGCCAGCAACATGCCAAACTATTAAATACTTTAGAAGAAACAAGAAGCTATACAAAATACATATATATACTATACACATACACACACACTCTATACAAAAAGAAATTACTGCCTCACCTTTTTAGCTACAGCAGGATCTGTGCAACTTTCATCTGAAATTTTTATTAAGTAGTCTCTAGTTTTCCTCAAGTAGTTTTTGCATTCTTCTCGTTCTTCTGGGGAAAGGGCATCATTCTCAATGTCTTCTGCTTTCCTATGAAAAATCTATAATAAAAAGTTGTGATTTTATGAAGCAGTATTTTTTTTAAAGTTAAACTGAAGTATTACACATAGTTTAATACTTACCAGGGCAAGATTCCAATAGGAAACAACATTTTTTATTGCTTCAAATGCTGACATGGCATCTTCAGTTTTCCCATCAACTGCATCCAACATAGCAAATGTTATGTGTGCTTCTTCCTCATATTCCCCAACTTCAGATGCCTAAAGAAATGGAATTTAAGAATTTAAGACTAAGTTTACTTACATTTTTACTATAAATCTGAAAATTAACTGTTTAACACAAGAAATTAATGTAAGTCTAACTAGCTTCTCAGTATATTACTATTATGTTACTTTTCAGAAAATATAAGCAGACTAGACATCGGCTTTATCTTTATGCAAAATATCACCACTGTAGTTTAGTGGAAAGAATCAAGAAAATAGTTCTATCACAATAATTGAACAGATTATAACTTCTCTGTACTCAGGCATTTTCCTCAGCTGTAAAATGGAATACACATTTCTCATTAAGTTCTCAAGTTTATGCTGCAGTACCTGAATATCTGCACTATGAAAATGTTTAAAGAGAGGATCGATGGGTTCAGGAATATTGCTCTTTTTTTTAATTGTCTTCAATAATGGCAAAACCTTCTTCCAGTAATGAACACTTCTTCCTATGTATTCCCGCTGATCATAAAAAGATTTAAGTCCACTGCCCTAGAATGAATGACATTATATTAAAATGATAATTTTACAGCAGACATTACTATCCAATATTAAAATCTAGTTCAAACATGTCTCAAAATAACTGTCACCGAATCTTAGTTTAACAAAGCCAGCTGAAATCTCAGAGATCATCCACTACTATCTCCCATCCAATGAAGGAATTCCCTGTATAATTTCTCTCACTGATGGTCAGTCAGTCCGTTGAACCAGTTCTAGTAACAATAAACTCACTACCTCACTCTTGTTTTAATTATCTCTGAATTTAATTAGTTCTGAATAAATTCTTTATATTAAATCAAAATTTATTTCCCTATAACTTCTACTTACCAGTCCAAATTGCCCAAAAAAAGAGTAAATCTTGTAGTTTATAGCTTTTCTAATAAAAATTATTCCCTCCTCATTCAACCCACCAACATTCTATTTTTCAGACTATACGCCTAAAGAATCTAAGCACTTTTTTATATAATACTAACTTTATAAAAAAGGGAGAGAGGAAAACAACTTCAAGCAACATGACCTAATCAAGATACCACCATATTCAGAGTTTTCAAAATATCAACTAGATATCTATGGATTGTTTTTTAAGATTTAAATTAAGAGACAAAGTCTCCACAAAGAAAATATTTAAGCAATTTAAGAACTTACTGTTTTCTGAAGACTTTTTGCCCAATGTACAAGCATAGCAGGCTGAAGACCATGTTTGCCTTGACCCCTTAGTGTGTTTATTTCATGCTGAACTAGAAGGCGCAACTTTGCAGAGGTTCCAGCTCTTAAAAAACAAAATTATTAAATAAAAAGATTATACATAAACATGAGTATTATGTGAATTTGAAGCACATAATTTTCAGAATTAACAACCTGCACAAGAGCTGAATAATGTAGGTCAAAAGTTATACGTACTTATTTCTAATAAAGAAGTATTTGGGGATTAGTACTTACTTGGCTTTTCTGTGAATAAGATTATAAGCTGCATCCCACCAGGATTTTTGTCGGTCTGTACAAAGCTGTTTGCACACAGGTAGCGGCAAGCATGGAGGTTGATGTGAATCATAGTGAAAATTGGATTTCTCTTGTAATTGTAAGTGGCTGGTAAATATCACTCCAAGTAGAAATACCTGTTTTCATTTTTAAAAAGAATGATTATTTTGAAGTTAAAGAGAATCTTTCCAACTCTAATTAGATTCTTTAAAATCTTACTTACTTCAAGATCTAATAAACAAATAGACTCAGGAGCATTAGTTTCAAGTCTTGAGGTTTCTTGTGGCAAATGATGAAAAAGCTGTTTTAGCCATTTTTGGATTGCAGGTAAGGTAGACAATGAACTCCACTGTAACCCAAGCCAAGTGAGGTGCTGAAGGCTACCACTGTGTGCTCGAACAGCCCCTATGAAGGTAAAATGATAATCTTTAGTGAAAAAAAAATCCAACCTTAAGAATTTGGATCAGTTTTACTTGCACAGTCCATTGATTTTAATTCCAAAGATTTTTCCTTCAAGATATTTCAGAAAAGTATTTACTTCAAATAAATGCCTATATTCCCTATGAAGACAGATTTTCCATCTCATTAAAGCTTTAAAAATTGTTTGATCATATCACCATTCCATCAATACCCCAAACAAAAAGATATACTGAATAATCAGGAAGTTTAATCCTTTAAACCAATGGAAACCCCAAAAGACTACTAGTAAAAGCCAAATGACTTGATACAAAAATGATACTGAAAGATTAAAACAACGATCAAAATCCTAACAAGATGAAGTTAAGTGGGAAAGGTAGATAAAAGGTAGTAAATGTACATTTTCTAAAAACACAGTACAGGATGAAGGAGATAACACTAAAATAACAATTTTTATATTTAGGCTTTATTTCACACAGAGGCTTTTTTTTCCCAAAACAACAAACAGGTAAGGTGAATAGTGACAGTATCATACACATATGGTAGATAAGGAAACTAAGAAGAGTTTAAATGCCTTAGCCAAGACCACATAGTGTGTGATCTTGTACAGAACCAGGGTACTGACTCCAAAAACATCTTTCCACTACATCAAGGTTCTTAAACTTTTTTGCATCATAGATGCCTATTTGCCAGTCTGGTAAAGACCATGCAAGCCTTCTCAAAACAATGCTTTTTAATGTATAAAACAAAATACACAGGATTACACAGGAAACCAAATGTATTGAAAGCTATCAAAACATTAAAAAAAAAGTTTACAAATTCCAAGAACCTTTGTACTATATCATAATGCTCTTTAACATGCAAACATTAGTTAGGTGTTTTTGGTTGGTTTTTTTTGTTGTTTTTTTTTACTATACCTTACCAATATCATATCTAGCCAGTTCTTCAGGTTCTGGGGTTTGTATGTTAACATTTCTGATATCATCACTACCCAAGAATGATTTATCTTTTGGTGACTGACTATCGAACAAGGCATCATATAAAGCAGACTGTCCACTCTTATTGGCAAATGATTCCACAACCTCTTTTAAGAAGTCCTGCTTGCCATGACTCAAATTTAGCAGCATATGTCCTGTAATACACACATGTTAAACAATTAATCACAAATATCAAGAGTTTAGAAGTATTAGATTTCCTTAAATTTTCCCATATTATTTGCCTTCAAATAAGGTGATTAATATTCAAATCTTATTTTTTTATTCTGACCTATGTTCCAAACTTAAAACAATGTTATATATCATGAATTTTAAAATGTTTGATAGCATTTGAAGACGTATGCCATTATATCAACAGCAGAGAGTAAGAAAATATTTGAAAATCATTGAAAAATACCATTTTATTTTCACGACTAAAAGGAAGTTTCAAGTATAGAGCTTAAACAGTCACAGGAAAAAGCCAAGTAGCTAAAGAAGACCTACTTAACTAGTCTAATGGCAGGGAATCCTCCCGCTATTCTTTTGGGCATGAAGTTTACCATTCATATGGCAACTGTGGCCTTTCATTACTATTTGCGTATAGTCTTCTCTTTCCTAACAGACTGTAAGCTCCTTGAGGTAAAGTCCTAATACATACCAGCATCTGACACACAACTGTGGCCCTTGTATGCAAAAGGTTTTCAAATATTTGCTGAATGAAAGAATTGATCTATGAATCTCACAGCACTTTACACATACTTTTCCCTGGCAACTATCTTGCAGAATCGCTGTATACATATCCTATCACACTGGTAAAATGGAGGCTCAACAAAACTGTGCTATTACCAGTCTGGCTCAGACGATCATAAGCCATCATTTCCAACAAATTTTGTCCAGCATTTTCTCCTTTCATTAATTTAGTCCTTGGTCTTGGAACCTGATGAAAATATGAGAAATCAGAATAATATATATTTTCTTCACTAAGAGAATTCACAGGATGAAGATTTTTTTAAAATGGCATAGAGCATAATGTTGTACATACACTATGAGTACAGATTTAAAAAAATACACACTAAATAAATTTCTGAAATTTGACTATACAGTATATTGGAAGACACTGTCTGTCCTAAAAACACATAATTAAACAATGAAAAATATTTCTTAGGAACTCTCTTTCACCACACATTCAATTTAACTTCAGTTACAAATGTTCCTGGAAATGAACCATTTAAATAAAACAACTGACTTCAGCAGTATAAATACCAAATTTTTAAATGCTCCTACCACTTTTATAAACAAGTTTTAATTAGTTACACAGAATGGCATACTGAACAGAATTGACCTTAGGGCCATTAAGAGATGAGTTCATATCTCACCTTTGACTCACACTGGCCAGTGACACTGACTCAGTCAGTAACCTCTCAGGTTTCCAGGCAACTAAGACTAACTTGCACAGAAAGTTGTTCCTGCCTGCTTAGGTAGAGCGAGTTCCCTCAAATCATGAAACAATAAATCTAATCACTATTCTCTAGTCTATGCCTCAACCATATTTAGAGTGAGCCAGCTGCTGTTAATGGGCAAGAAATTCAAACAGCTGGAAACAGAAAATTAGAAGGAAACTATTTCTTTAAAATTTTTTAAATTATTTTTATTTTCAAGTTCAATTTCTCTCCCTCCAGCCCCTCTGCAACCCCTTGAGAAGGCAAGAAATACAACACTCATTACACTTGTGAAGTCAGACAAAACAAATTTCCATTTTAGCCATGAATGAATAAGATGCAAAAAATGAATAAATAAAAAGGCAGGAAAAATAAAGAGTAAAAACAATATGCTTCAATCTGCATTCAGACTTCATCAGTTTTCTCTTTAGAAGTGGCAGCATTTTTCATCATGAGTCTCTTGGAATTGTTTTGGATCACTGTATTGATCAGAGTAACTAAGTCTTTAACAATTGATCATTGTTATAATATTGCAACTCACTTCACTTTGCATTAGCTCATATAAGCCTTCCCAGGTTTTTCTGAAACCATCCCCTATGCCATTTATTTCACCACAATAGTATTTCATCACAATTATACACCATAATTTGTTCAGTCATTCCCCAATTGAAGGACATCCCCTCAATTTCCAATTCTTTGCCATCACAAAAAAAGCTTCAATATTTTTGTATGTATTTGGGATACAAACCTAGTAGTGGTATTGCTGGTTCAAAAGGTATGCAGAGTTTTATAGCCCTTTGGGCTATAAAATGGTTACAAAATGGTTGGACCAGTTCATAACTCTACCAAAAGTGCATTAGTGCCTGTATTTTTCCATATCCCCTCGAACGGTTTTTCATTCTCCTTTTCTTTCATGTCAGCCAATCTGATAGGTGAGATGGTACCTCAAAAATTGTTTTAATTTGCATTTTTAATTATCAAGTGATTTAAGAGCCTTTTTCATATGACTATTAATAGTTTTGATTAGGATACTACTTTTTTTTTTGGCAAGGCAATTGGGATTAAGTGACTTGCCCAGAGTCACACAGCTTAGTGAATGATATGTGTCTGAGGCCAGATTTGAGCTCAGGTTCTCCTGACTCCAGGGCTGGTGTTCTACCCACTGTGCAACCTAGCTGCCTCAGGATACTACTTTTTTTTCTTTTCTTTTTTTGATGAGGCAATGGAGTTAAGTGACTTGCCCAAGGTCACACTGCTATTGAGTGTTATGTGTCTGAGGCTGAATTTGAACTCAGGTCCTCCTGACTCCAAGGCCAGAGTCTATCCACTGAACTACCTAGCTGCCTCCCTAGGATGCTACTTCTTAAAGAGGAAATAAGCACCTAGTGAAAATAAACCTGAAAAAACTACTGTTTTACTACTGCAAACATTACCAAATAAGGATTCAATGCCACAGCTGGCGGGGGGGGGGGGGCGGCAGCAATTTTGATGTTGACCAAATGGCTGTGGCTTTTCTAACTGTAAAGTATATCCATCACACAGCAACTGTTCCTTCTGCAAATGGATAGCTTCACCATCATGTCAGATATATGAAGCCATTCATAGTCTGAGTTACTTGACTGGCTCTTGCATTCTAGTAAAACCGCTTATTTCTAATCACTAAAAATAAATAAATAAATATAGGTTTCATTGGCTATTCAAGGTTTTAGGGTCTGGGAACCCAAGCCTTGAACAGACCACACCCAAACATAAGCATGCCTGGATCAGTCAGTCCTTAACTATTAAACCTCTAAGATCGCTTAAGATGTAGAAATGAAAAAAATAATATATGGAGAAATGAGAAATTTCATCTACAGACTTGCTTCAAAGGTATTTATTTATCCTTAGAGCATAAGCTAAATAGAAAGGAGACACTTTAAAACAAAGAATCCATTATTTTTCCTGTTAAAATAAAACCAACCCTCATGCTTTACCAATTCTACAAAAATTAAACTTTATTAGAAATCGTTCCAGAGGTCATACTTATTAAAGTTGAAACAATCCAACTTATATCCTCCTCCACCCATGTTCCTCAGTGATGCATGGAAGTGGCCTTATGTGCTTAAAAAGAATGCCAACATAGAAGCTTTGAGAACTTCTACCAGAATAGGTTACAATTATATGCCCAGTGATGGATCAGCCTACATAATTTCAAGAAGGCTGATCAATAGATTATTGAATTTTTCAGTGTCTTCCCTCCTGAATATTTGCTAAGTCACAGAGAATTTAAAAATTTGTGTACAATGAAGGGATTAATTCATATTTATGAAAACCATGGGTCACTGAAGCAGTCTTCAGTTATTTCAGTCTTTACATTTAGCCATCAAGATTGAGTAAATAAATAGACAGTGAGGCCCTGAAATTTTTTTTCTTTTTACTTTGTTTTATTGTTTCTTAGTATCTCATGGAGCTTCCACCTGCCCAATTCCAATTTTTAAGGAATTATTTCCTTCTGTGTGCTTTGGTACCTCTTTTACCATTAGGCCAATTCTGGTTTTTTAGGTTTATATTTTCTTGTGCCTGTTTTACCAAGCTGTTAATTCTCTTTTCATACTTTTCTTGTATCACTTTCATTTCTTTTCCCAATTTTTCCCTACCACTCTTATCTCTTTCTTTAACTCTTCCAGCAATTCTTGTTGGGCTTGGGTCCAATTAGCATTTTTATTTCCTTTTTAAAGGCTTTGCTTATAACTATTTTCACATTGTTGTCTTATTCTGAGTCTATGTCTTGATCTTCCCTCCCCCATAGTAGCTTTTAATGGTCACATTCTTTTTTGTTGATTGCTCCTTTTTCTAGCCTATCTTGGCTTTGCGCTTTATGTTAAAATTGGGCTCTGCTCACCTGCAGGTGGAAAGGCAATGTCCCAAGCTTCAGGCTTTTTCATGCTGCCATTTTCTGAGCGTATTCTGGGGCTTGCCACTTTTTGGTGCTTCCAAGGTATTGTTATTCTGGGAGAGCTGTGGTCACTGCTTTCCTGGTCTGTGCTCCAGTCTTTACCCAAGAAGGGTACCTGCTACTCTACAGATGCAAGCGATAATGTTCCTCTTGGCCCTGAAACTACAACCAGGGTCCCTACTCCCTTGTGACTGACCACAAGTACTCCTCTGTGTCCCAGATTTGCATATGGGCAATGTAGTAGCCAAACAGTGCCCAATGCTGTGTCAGTAAGCTCAGAGTTTTCTGTAATCTCTTTTTGATCAATTGTCCACTCCCTTTAGTAGCTGAGAGATCTCAAAGCTGCTGCTACAACTACTACAGCCACCTCCAAGATCCACTGCTGGTGTGGCCACCACAACCAGTCTAGGCGGCCACCACAACCAGTCTAAGCAACCCCCACCCCACTGTCACAGACCTCTCCTACTGACCTCCTAAATTATCTTGAGCTGGAAAAATGACTCACCCAGATCTTTTGTCATAGCAGCTATGCTGCTCTAGAATTAGATTTGATGTATCATTTTTAAGTTGTCTGGAGGGAAATGTTGGGTTGTTGCCCCTACTCTACTATCTTGGCTCCATCCCTAGTTTTTAATCCCACATGAAATACACTTTAGAAGCTCTATGCTTAAAGAAATTATGAAGTTAATGCTTTTGTCAAAGGGAAAAAATGTTCCCAATGCTTATAATCAGTTCCTAATTTATCTCTTTTTTTCTAAGTCTGGCTATTCCCTTATTGAACCTTTTTAACATGAGGTACAACTAGGATACACCCATGTGAAACGCTACAAATATGAAGATCAATTGGGTGAAATGTACACCTAACTAAACTGGAAGGCTGCTTACCTGAAATGCTATGAGATAGCATAAGGCTGCCAATTCTGATAAAGCTCTCCATTGTATCTCACTGTGCTGAGCCATTTTCAAAAGCAGAGTACCAGCATGCATGTAGAAGTGACCTTTCATTTCAAGGAAAGTAACTGATAGCTCATCATTCCCACTCATAAAAGATTTCACAGACTGAAGTGCATCATCAAAACTACAACACAAAATGTTGCAAAGAATAGCAGTCAAACGTTACTGAATTAAGGCATAATCTACATCTTTGATATCAAATGGATAATAAGTTTCACAACAAAAAATAAAGGCTTTTTTTTAAGTAAAGAAATAACCCTTGGGGGAGGTGGAGGTTGTGAAAACAGGTTAAGGTATATGCCCTACCACCACCAACAAAAAAAGGGAAGAAAAGTGAAACATTACGTGAAAATTTAAAAAATGGAAAAAAAACCCCACAGCAGAAAGAAGTTCAGACAGGGACACAATTCAGCACTGATATTACTACGTTAAAAATGTGATACTTTTTCAAAGAAACATTTATATGTTTTTATATGTACAATTTCAAAAACAATCCTCTTACTCATTTTACATGTAGAAATATTATTTATTGGTGTTTGTAAAATTCCTTCTCCCTCCCCCCAAAAAAAGAATTGGGGAAAAAAGAATCCTTCAAATAAGGTTATAAATCAAATTGTGTTTATCCTTAAGTTTTTACAAATTACCATATGACCCAACCACACACATTTTGCTTTTGAAGATGAAGAACAATATTGACAATCATAGTTCAACTTAATTTTTGCGATCTTGGGCTGAGTTATCTAGCCTCCCTGGGGCCCATTTCCTACTCTGTAAAAGGAGGGAGTTGGATCCAGAGCCAGAATGCCAAGCTAGATCTATGATCTATAAACATCACCAACCATTCTATTTATTTAAATACTTGTTTGAAACAACTCTTATTTTGTTCACATCCTAAAGTCCCACCAAAAAAAAGAAAAGCCAAAACCTACACTCAGGCTCAGCCAGGGGGAAAACAGTTTATTGCAAAACACCTGAAAAACATGAAATCTACTAGAATACTAAAACTGTTCCTTTCCTTAAGGATGGTGGCTCTGCAGAAAAGCAAGACTGTCCATCCTTTATCTAAAGCAAGGACAAAGAACAGACTTGGGGGGAGTGGGGAGGAGGCTCAGTATTCAACTGCCTTTCAGTCCCTTCAAGTCTTTCATAATGCATTCATTAGTTTGAAGCGTTATGAATTCTCAGACAAGATATACATATATACAAACAAAACTAAATTCTAGAGTCAAATATTTTTTAGTGTAGCTTACCAAAACTGCTATACTCTCCATTAATTCCTATCCTTTGCTAAACCTACCCAACCTTATCTTGGTATATATGATCTTGGGCTCTCAAAAAATGTAGCAGCAGGGAAATAAGAAATATAGGAAATGGGGTACAGAAGTCTATCCTGCCCTACAGAAAAATAGAAGGGGAAGGGAATAAGAGAAGGGTGGGAAGAGGTAGAAGAGAGAACAGACTAGGGGAAGGGATATTCAGAATGCATGCCATCGTGGGGTGAGATGGGGTGAAAATCTGGAACTCAAAAACTTGTGGAAGTGAATGTTGACAACTAAAAATAAATAAATTTATATATGTTAAAAAAAATGTAGCAGCAGAGGCAGAATTCTGGCAAGTTCTACCAAGCTGAAAAAGGTTTTAAGTACAGAAAAGCAATGGCCTAGCTAATTTGGGCTGGCCAATTTCTAAGAGGCTGGCTAATTTCTTCCTTAAGAACTAACAGATTATGCTTTAAAATTAATACAAATCTAAGCAGCAACAAGAAATCCCTTTATGGTACTATAATTGCCTATGATAACTGTTTTAGGCAAAGGAACATGAAGTAACTAGAATTTATGAGCGTGAGCAACCCCCAGTATGGGAATTCCTTCCACCAATGTGATCGTCAATCTTTCCATGATCAATACCAGGTAACTGCTTGAGGTAAAATGACTTGCCCAGGTCATATAACAAAAATAATTTGATAACTGAAATTAACTTAAGTTGAAAAGGCCAGATCCACTGGAAAGAGCATTTAATATAACAGTTTACTGATACTTTTCAAGAGACATTAGCATCCTTTTCTTTTTTCTCTGAAAAGATTTATTCTCTTCTCCCTCCCTTTCTTTTTGGTGAGGCAATTGGGGTTAAGTGATTTTCCCAGGGTCACACAACTAATAGTTTTTTTTTTTTTTCAGTGAGGCAATCACACAGCTAGTGAGTGTTACGTGTCTGAGGACAGATTTGAACTCAGGTCCTCCTGAATCTAGGGCCGGTGCTCTATCCACTGCACCACCTAGCTGTCCCTCTTCCCCCCTTTTTGAATAATTAGTTTTATTTATCAAATTAGTATACACTTTTAACTCATATTGTGCCTATACTAAAGTTTCACTTCACTCTAATTTTTTATTTGTTTAGTGATTTACCAACAGTACCTAATTAAGGCAGAAATCATTAAAACCAAGTTTAGAAAACCCAGAAAAATGTAACAGCTGTTCAAAACGTGAAAATAAAAACCATTAAGCATCTTCTTACAAAACCAAGAATTCCTAATTAAGCCAAGTGAAATAGCCATCCTTTAAAGTTCCTTTAAAAGTACTAAAATATGAGTAAAGCATCGATTCAGTAACAATAGACTCAGATGGAAAGACAATCCCACATATAGACAGGAAATACAATAATAGTATTAGCAACAAACAATCCACATTTATATAATACTTTGAGGACTGAAAAGTATTTTCCTCACCAGCTTGTGAGGAAACTAATTTATAAGTATTATTTAACAGATGATGAAAGTTAGGTTCTGACAGATTACAGGACTTGCTCAGGATCCTACAATTATTAAGTCTTTCAAGTGCAACTCAAACCAAAGGTCTCTGAGTTCCATGTCTAGAACTTGATGTACTTTTCCACAATGTATCAATTTTCAAATTCATCATTTCTCAAGTATGCCATAATAAAACATTAACATAACACAGGTTTGCATATTTTTCTTCTTTTTCAAACCTGAAGCAGAAGCTCAGAGAGACTAAAAGTTATGCAAAATAAAATCTTAATACTCTTACAAAGAATTGGTAAAGAAGAATTCTCATCATATTGCACCAGTTTTAACAGTCCTCTAAGCACAGCATATAAACGAACATTTTGGGAGAGAGATTAATTCAACCAACTAAACAATGAACTGCTCCTTAAAATATAAAATGTAATTTAGATTTAATTGCTTTACTTATAATTATCATACCGTTCCAGTAATTCTCTACTTTCCTGTACATCTCTAGTAGAAAGCGTAAGAAGCATAAGATTGGCATAGGCCAGAAGTAAGTCTTTATTGGTTGCTCGCCAGTTGCTTTTATTGGCCTCCAAACACTGTAACGATTCCAGATATTCCTATTGGGTAGAAATAAATTAAAATGCATATAATTACCAACAATTTTTGTTCTTTGTCCTTTGCTATATAATAGCAAATGTCCCCCAGTGAAACCATAATGTATACACTGATGTGATAAGTAAAACTTCAAAATTATCCCTTTTCCCATTCCAGTCTTTCTTCAAATAAGGTGAAATAAATTCACCACATCCTTAATTACTCAAACAACATAAAATGCTACTCATATTGGACAAATAAATGGTTTACAGAGATCTTGGTATAACGCCTCACACAGACATGACAAATATTTATTGAATGTTATTGAGCTGCCCTATGTGTGTAAAATGGATAACAATAATGTCATTTATTTGTTATCAAGAAATTTTACATGTGGAAAACAGAAGAAATTAAAGTACAAGATACAGATGCCTCTTAGAGGATAATAAATGAAAAGGAAAAAGTGCTGTCACATACCAAAAAGAAACGTACAGAACTAGCTTTTACCTACCTTAAGTGTTCGCACAACACATGAATACCATTCCAAGCTTGTTCTCAAGGCTAGATTTCTCTCTGCCTCACAGCAGTGGGCCACAGCATCCTTCAGTCTCTTATTTGACCTGTACAGCTCTACTAGTCGGATGTTCACATATACATCATCAGGTCTCGCATAGAGCTCTGACTGAATCAAGTCAAAAAGCTGATTCCATCCATCTTCACCTTTACAGTCTAAAAGCTGCTCCTATTGAAATTTATATATTTAGCTTAGAATCAATACCAAATATATTCAAGTTTACCAATCAATAAACAAATATTTATTAAGCGTCCACGTGCAAGGTTACAAATACAAAAATACCTACCCTCAAAATAAATTCCTCTTTTTGGCACTTAATGCCCTCCACAATCTGGCTCCAACCAGACATTAATGTCCTTCCCACATTCTACATTCTAACCAATCTGACCTTCTTGCTATTTGTGCTGGCTATACTCAGGTGCCTGGAATTCTCTCCCTCCATACTTCTAAATGTAAATAAATCCATTATTACTCTCATGATTTCGTTCAAGTATGACCTTTTATGTGAAACCTTTCTTGATTCCCCAAATGCTAGTGCCCTTCACTCCTTAAATTAATGCACATTTATTTTGTAAATTATTCTATGCTTATGTATGTATAGAATGTCTTCCCTGAGAGAATGTAGTTTTTTGCGAGTGGGACTTGTTTCACTTTTTCTTTATATCACAGGTACCTAGCACAATGTGGGTGGCATACAGGTGTTTAAGTTTTTTCATTGAAAGTATTAAAGATACCATTAGTTGTAAATAAACACAACTATGCCAGATACTAG